TTTGGCAAATACTAGCTTTATATTATTGAATATTTTATTTTTCTTTCTTATAATAATATAAAGTAATAGTTATATTTATAAATAGTACTTTGGCAAGTACTAGCTTTATGTTATTGGAATTTAAAAAGCTATATATAGCTTAGGACAGTCTGATTATCTGTTGCTAATCACCTTTTCTAGTGTCTTAGAATACTTCTAAGTTTAGCACAGGTAATTCTTGTAAAGGGTAAACTATTTATTAAGCCTGGCTAATACAAAAAGAACAATAGGTCAAATCTTTTCTACAACTGGCCTATCGTAAAAATTCTTATAGTATCTAGAAGGCAGTATTGGCATTTGAACTATGTCCAATAAAAATTTTGATTGAACATAGACAAATATAGACATTAACTAGTCAATATAGTGTCCATGTTTAAATAAAATATTGACTATAAAAATGTTCATGTAATAGTATTAACCAATAAAAATCATGCACATAATACTATTTGAAATTATGTATATATGTACGTACATACATACATATGCACACATACACAGATATTACTATGTAGCAATTACGTACAACAAAATTAAAATAGATTGCTGCAATGTTTTAAAATCGACTCTTCCAAACTTATTCAAATTATTAATGCAAGATGAAATTACTTAGAAATCTTTATAACATTAAGTGAGAAAATTTTAATGTTAAAAGAATATATAATTTTTGGTTAATATGTTTTAAAACTTAATTAAGTTTCACTAAAAATCAAATGTAACTTTTTTGAAAAAATTAATTTCAACAAAAAAATTAAGATTTATTCTTTTTTAGATTACTGACAAAAAAATCTAATCGTAAGATGGTTTACTCTAGCATATGTGGAAGTTTAAATTTATACACAATTTTGTTAATTGAATGTAGCAATTAGGTGTCTGGTATAAATTCGATCTTAATTTTTAAAGCATTATCTAATAAATAACTATCGAATAATGGAATTCAGTAGTATGTAATAAAGCATTACTGTACAGTAGCACAGATTTTGCCAGATACAAGGAAGACTTTAACGTTAGCAAATTTAGAGAACAAATAATTTTGCAACGAAATTTCTTCATCATGACATTTACATGTGCAAAATTTTATTTTTGTACTAGTTTGTGTTATAGTACTATACTACATTATTGTTTGATCAATAATCATAATTAGAATCTTCGAACTTTCACAATTTTGAAGCTTTTTATTATTATTAAATAAAAAATCTATGATAATCAAATAAAAATTTAAGACTTGTACCATTACAATATTATATACAATTATAATTGTTCTGGGTGCTAAATAAAAAATCTGCGGTAATCAAATAAAAAATTTGTGCAGAACTAGAAAATAAAAGATTCTATTTTAGTAACTTTCATACATGCGAGAGTTTCATGCTTGTTTATACAAAACAGTATAAATAAAAAAGTTCAGTTTTGAAGACAATATTTAAATAAAAGTTAAAATTTACTCTCAATTTTTTTTTACTATCCTGTTGTGCAAATATAGGTAAACCACTACATCGTCTATCAGAATTCATAATCATGCTTGAAGAAAAAGCAAATAAAAGTAATAAATATTGTGTTTGTAAAGAATGTATATCAGGTTCTTCATATGCAAAGGCAGAAAAAAATAAATTTGCAAATACACAAGAACTTGTTCATCATCACCTAAAAAATTGTATTTATTTTAAGCAAAAATACAATGAATCAGAGCAAGCAGAAATTTTGAGCAAATCTGTTTCAGTAGCTAATAACCGTAAGTATATTAATTAGTATAGTTCTAATAAGTTTTGTATATATAATTATTAATTTGTTTTTGGTTTAGCTGAACAAGAAAATTCTGATGATAATTCTGAGGCTTCTTCATCAAAAAAATTATCTGAGGCTTCTTCATCAAAAAACTCAATGGCTAGTATTAGAAAAAATACACTTGATCATTATTGTTTCTGGCCTCTAAATGAAGAACAACAAAAACATTTTGAACAACTTATACTTAAAGCAACTGTATCATGCGGTTGGGCTTTTTTATGGGTAGAAAATCCAGAAATAAAGACACTTTTTGAATTTGTTCATCTTTTAATTAAATTGCCATCATGAAAAAATCTTAGTAGTCAAATTTTATCTGAATTTACACAAAAAATAACCAAATCAATTAAAGAAATAGCACAAAATGATAAAGATAGGGTTACATTAGCATACAATGGCTGGAAAAATATTAAAAAGGAATTGATTTTTGGAAGTATTTTAGTTACCTCTATGGGCAGAGTTCTTGTTTGGAATGTGGAGGATATATCAAATGAACATACAAAATGGTTTGATGTGCAGTGTCGAACTGAAAATATGCTTAGTGATCTAAAAAAAGAAAAAATTAAAGTTAATGCTATTGTAACAGATTGTGTACCTGAATATAAAGCAGCTAGGTAATATAATATATATATATATATATATTAAGTTTTTAATTAATATATTTATATACTTATTAAATTTAGAAAATGTTTATGATGATTATATTCTGAGATTGTATTTATTCTGTGCTTCGCACATCAGATGAACTTGTGCATTGGAAATATTTTTAAGAACTCAAATTTATTTTCAATTGTTGCTGAAGAAGCTATTCATTTGATGTCTTTTTTTTATCAATCAACTTTTTTTTTGGGGTGCCTTCATTCTGAGCAAATGGCTATATATAAGTCATATATTTCTTTTGTATTACTGAATTCTACTCGATAGAATAGTCACTACTTATGTTTTGCAAGTATTATTAAATCTCATGCTGCTCTTAAAAATTTAGCCACAAAAATTAAAGAAGGAAATGATGATAGTCTTAAAGATTTTTCCAAAAGTATTCTTTTAAATATTTCAAATAATGAATGGTGGAAAAATCTTATGCAGTTAAAGGTTCTTCTTGAACCATATATGGCATTCTTAAATAAACTTCAACATGATAAAGGTCATCTTACTGAAGTTCTACATAGTTTCGGATGGGTGTATCAAATAATTAAAGGTATTTCAAATGAAACGCTTAAAGATTATTTAATAACAAAATTAGAAAAGCGATAGTCTGCTTGGGAGCAGCCATTGTTGCTTTTATCTTTTTTATTACATCCAGATTACTGTATTAAACAATTTAATTAATGCAATGATAATTTGTCTTTTACAAATCTGGGATGATGAGTTGTACATTATTATAAATCTTGGGTTGGTAAACCTCCATGTTCTATTTTATATGAATTACAATTATATGAAAATAAAGAATATCTATTTGATAGAAAAACTTTTATTCAATTTGATGATATTTTACAATATTGGAAGTTTTGTAAGGGGGTTGCTATAGAATTACATTTTGTAGCAATCCGTATTTTCTCAATTTGTATAACTACAGCATTGGTAGAATGATTATTCTCAGCCATAGGATGGTATCACTCATTGCGACGTAATCGACTTCAGGCAAACTTACTTTACTATTCTTTTATTTTTATTATTTTATTATTTTTTATTATTTTTTTATTAATTAGATATCAATATGTGTTTGTCTATTTTATAATATAATAATATAAAAAAGTTCTCACTATGTGCCAACTAAGATTGGAGCTTTTATGTTCACAAAATATTCTTGCCATTGACAAGTCACTAAAAACATACAAACAAAAGATTGGTATTCCACCTAAAAATAATGAACAAATAAGCCTTGACAATAATGAAGAGGAATTATACACATCAGAGGATGATGATGATATTAATATGAGGCAAAGTCAAATAAATGTTGAACAGCCAGAAATAATTCGATGTGTGAATGACTAGAAAGTAATTGTAGAATGGTGAGTTAACCTGGCCAAAGAGGATGATGGTGATTATATGCAATGTGATTCATTTAGCTTAAATAAGTCAGAAGGTTTGACTAATTTGTATGATAATAATCCAATATTTCAAGATGATATTCATTCTAATATTCATTCTGCAGATAATTTGGCAGCCAAATAGAAATTGGCAAATATCTTTGCTGATTCATTAACTCAACCTGCTTATATTAATCTGCTTTTGGGAGGTCAAGAGTGTAATTAGCACTCATAAAAAGAATTATAAAAAAAATTGTACTGTTTTTAACTGTAATAAATCAGTTTAGAAAACACACATCTAAATCTACATATTTTTGCTTCAATATTATTAACTATTTTGCAATCAGTACTATTTGGTGCCTGTTTATTTTTTGCTTTGTATAACAGAACATATTTATTTGGTAATAAAGTTTTTTTAAAAACATTTTTATATTGAGGAATTGAATTAACCCAGATCTCAGTATTGTTATAACAAGATGCAGATGTTCAAGAGAAATATACTTCAGTGAGATATCATATGATTTGCATAAAGTATGAGGCATAAGAAATTTATATTATAGGTTTGATATGAGTACCACAAAGAGAAAACCTGTAATTTTTATTAGATGAAGAATTATAGGTTTTCTCTTGTCGACTCAAAAAAAAAAAAATTAAAATCGTATTTTGGTATAAAGTTGTACAATTGGTAGATCACTATATACGTAATCGCTATTCCACAAGAGATTCGTACATGCATACAGTATAAGATCATATTAATTTGCACATTTTATGCAAAGTATGTTTTTAATTTCAAATAAATGTATAGTCTATTAGAACTAAAATAATATACTCCAAGCAATGTACATAAGGTCAAAAAATTTAAAAAAAAAGAAACTTAATGTAATCTTAATTCTTTTTGGTATTATTATTATATATACTGTTATATGTTGATTACTTTAGCCAATCGAATTCTAAAAAATTGTGTTACACGAGTCACATTTTAAATTTGGACTGAGTGACTATGTCCATTTAAAAAATATAGACAATATGAACATAGTCCATATTTGTTCATGTTCATTGGTCTATATTGTCTATATTCATATTTGGCCAACACTGATGGTCAGACTAATAGAAGTTTATGAAATACTTCCAAAAAGATAGGCAGATAAACTAGATGTCAAGATGTATAGAAGAGTATATAACCAATTAGATTACTGAAATTGCTAGAGAAAAAGGATATATAAGTATACTATACTAGGCTATCTGGATTGGAAATCAGAAGAGTCCTGTCAGTTCTGAGTAGCAGTTGTAAGAAATGATAAAGAAGATGTCATGATAATAGATACTGGGGTTCTAGTGAACTTAACAAGGGTAGAAATAGTATAATGTAGTGGTTAAACAGGTAACCCCTATGATTGCAAGTGTTAGGTAACTATAGCATATTGCATAAAACTGAATCAGCTGTATGTAGGACACAAAAGGTTTTAGTAAGTTTTCTGTTAAGGATAAACTAGTTCTAAGGGTCTTAAAAGCATTAGGTACTTTGAATGAGTATAACTCGAAAGATGTTTCTGTGATCACAAGTCAAATTATATATGCAGAAGGTTTAAATAGGCAAGATCTGTAGTTGGCTTGCAGGTATGATACCTAGTATAGAACTTGTATAGTAATATATAGATAAACTACTTAAATTAGATACCAAAAATGCATATTGGCTAGTTGTAACCTTCTATGTTAGAAGTTTCTAAAGGCATCTGTGTCCAATACTTGAATAAAAACATCGATTTTCAAAGACAGAGACTTTAATATTAAAAAAAAAAATAAATAAAAAAATATATATATATTTCTAAACAAAATACTTCTAGTTTTATAGAATAAAAAATTAATTACTTAATAAAGTTTCAAGTAAATAGCTTATAATTTTAAATGTTCAATTATAAATTTTTAAATCAAATTAAATATTTATTAAATTAAATCAAATTTGACTATATTTGAATTTGATTTAATTTGAAAATTTCAGACTTGAATTTGATTTGAACTTAAATATTTGATTAAATTAAATCAAATTATATCAAATTACAGAACTTTACTGTTAATATAATACTATCTATATATTATATAGATAATTATTTAAATTTTTGCTATTAATAGGTTTTGAACTTACAATCTACTACTTGAAAAGTTGACAACTTATTCACTTTATTAAGTTATCACATCTCTTGAATTTTAATTTTGCATACATGTTATTTATAAATAATATATACTTGTATTAATAAAATTTTTTGAATTTATAATACTAATAATAGCCAAGTTTGAACAAATTGTTTGTTATAAAATAAATTTTTAAAGTATATAATATATAAATTTTAAGACTACATTTTATATTCTATAATATAATTTAAAAAAAAGTTAGATAATTTAGAAGTTAGCAATGAAATATACTTTTGTTTTATAGATTAAAACAATTTAGTATACAAAAGAAAATCAATTTCACTATTTAACAATAATTAGAAATAATTAGTAACTTGGAAGATTCTATTTAGAAGATAATCTTTTATTATTAATTATTATAAAATTTATATATAAGGTTAAATATTAAAAAAAATAATATTAAACTCTTTTTGCTAATTACCAAAACACAAAAATTGACAAAAACAAAACCAAAATTTACAAAAAAACTAATATCAAAACAATATTCAAATGTTTAGCAAAACAGAAAAAGCTTTTAAAATAGACTTAACAGATGTACTAGTAGAAGAAAAAAATTAAACAGCAAGTAGAAAAGTAACAAACTTGATAAATGAGTATTAGGAAATAAAATTTTGAGAAAATAGTATAAACCTAAAATTGCTAATCTGTTTGGAACATATAAGCATATGAAGAAACAAATAAATAAGCATATACAAATATAAACAAAATAAAAATATAAGTATTACAAAGTAAATATAATTATAAATAAATTAAAAAAAGTAGCACAGAACATAGCCAAATAATTACACAGATGAAGATAAAAAAGTTAATAATTTTAATATTAGTAAGTAAAAGACAAAGACAGAGCTGAAACTTATAAACAGCAAAAAATTAGAGCAAGAATTAGCAAATAAAGACAATTATTTCAATGTAAGAGATATATTAGCAGTAGCATTATAAAAAACTGATTTAATAAAAACAGTAATACTAAGAAAAATATATCAAGTAATAATTAAAATAGACATAAAAGATCTGTTAAGTATAGAAAAATAAACAAAAGAAATAAGGGATGTGATAACCTAGTGAAGTGAATAGGTTGTCAACTCTCAAGTGGTAGGTCTAAAGTTCAATTCTTACAGATGATGAATTTTGGAAATTATACTTGTGTTATGGTAACTGTTTCTTGCCAATCAGTTGAATTTTGGGCATCTGTAATCTTAGGTACACCAAGTTGGGTCCCACCTGACATTGGGAGCTTGGAGTATCTATGTGAAATATGATGTTATATGATACATAAAGGAATGTGAAAAACTAGTGTTATATAAGGCTTCAGTGCAAACCTATGATAAGACTATCAGGCATAGAAGACTAAAAAACTAAAAAGACAGAAACTCACTTGAAAATCCCAAGTAAAGAGGTAGCACAAAGTTTTAATAGTGCCATTGGACTAATGAAAGCCCATGAAACATCTTCATAGGAACTATCAAATAAACTAGATAACAAAAATATGTAAAGAAGCATATGATTAACCAGGCTACCAGAATTACTAAAAAAAAAGAATACATAAGTATACTATATTAGGCCATCTGAATTGGAAGTCTGGAGAATCAGTTAGTTCTGAGTTGTAGCTAGTAGAGGATGATAAAGAAGAAGTCAGAAAAATAAGTACTAGGGTTTGGGTAAACTTTACAAAGGTAATAGTAATTTAAAAGATAACACTGACTACAAGTGTTGGTCTTGGCCATAGCATCAAACCAGATTAGTGATAAAAGGGAATATGGCTCACTCTGGTAGGTTTATCTCAAGGATAAAAATAGTCTAAGAATTATAGTTCTATGGTCGAATATGAATAGATCTGGGTCTATGACCTAGTAAAATTAATACTAGAGTTAGATTAAAAGGTTTAAATGGAATATCTAAGCAGAGGTGTTAGATACGGCAACTAGTAAAGAACCCTCAGATGAACTCCTTAAATAGGTAAAATAGAAAAGTTACATATGTAGCTAGTTGTACACTCATCTAATAGTTCATTATAGATACATCTATATAAAACATGTATCTGCTATAAGTATTAATAAAAAGCTCGAACCAAAGAGGTCACCTTAATACTAAAAAAAAAAGAACAAAAGAAATAAATTACATAACTTAACATCTATTAGTAGTTTAAAGTATAAGAAGCAAAAAAGATCAAGTAATGCTAAAAGAAGAAATTATTATATTAGAAATATATATAAAAAAAATAAACAAAAATAAAAGCAGTAGATATAGTAATAAATAAAAAAGAGCCATAACAGAATACAAGTTTAGAAGAAAAAGAAAGACAAAAAAAAAGAAAAAGTAAAGAAGTCTTAAATACAGAAATGATAAGTACAGTAACTCAAGCAGTAATAGCATATAACTACATAAAAGAAGAAATTAAAGCATTAAAAACAAATATAATACAACAAAACTATAAAGACATAATTATAGCAATTAAAAACCAAAAAGAAAATAAAAAAAACTCATAAAGCTAAATAATAAAAAAACAAAAGCAACTTTATAAAAGTGCTACTAGAACAAAGCATATGATTACTTTTAAACAGAGATCATAGTAATAAAAGAACATATGTAGCAAAAATATTAGCATTTAATGTATTAGATAGCTTACAAAAAAAAAGAACAAAATTTGTCAACAAATTACTAGTATTTAACAAATATGTTAAAGATGCTAAAGATTTGTTTAAAAAAGGTAATGCTTAGATTATAGTTTCATTTGACTAAAAAAATAGCAGAAAAGAGGCAATTAGTAAGATTTAAAGAAAATGCAACAACTGGTTCAGAATAATCCCAAATACAAAAGAATTAGAAGAAGATAAAGACAAGAAAAAAGAAAAATCAGAGCAGAAAGACAAAAGAGAAAAGAAAAAAAAAGCATAAAAAAAATAAAAAAACAGAAAACAAAATTTATAATTAAGAAGCAAACACAGACAAAGAAAG